TGGATTGATGGATAACATTTTTTAATTTATCCATTTAGGATTAAATGAACAGCACAATAAAATGTGCACAAACGAATACTTTAACTGACTTCAGCCTGAATACTTTGTAAAGCCACTGTATATGGACATATAAATGTATCCATGTTTATATTGTGGATATTTCCACCATGTCACTAAGCCCTAGTCCTGTCTTAAAAAAGTACTTTATGTAGTTCATGATGGATGTTTTTTTTCCCATCATTTCCTGATTATAGGACAGGTGGATCAATGCAGTGTCAGCAGTATTGCAGGCGTTGTACCGGACCGTTGCGGTGGAGAAGGAGCTCAGCCGGAAGGCAAAGCTTTCGATTTACCAGTCGACCTACATTCTGACTCTCACCTATGCTCATGAGCTGTGGGTAGTGACCGAAAGAATGAGATCACAGATACAAGTGGCTGAAATGAGTTTCCGCCGCAGGGTGGCTAAGCCTTAGAGATAGGGTGAGGATCTCCGACATTCGGAGGGAGCTCGTAGTAGAGCCACTGCTCCTTCTCTTTGAAATGCCTTTGGATCCCCGTGGATGAGCTGGAATATGTTGGTGGGGGGAGGGACGTCTGGGCTACCTTCCTCAACCTGCTGCCACTGTGACCTGACCCCGGATCAGTGTCTGAAAATGGATGGATGACTTGCAAAAGAAAATCATTACATAATGTAGAATGAAACAGTGAGACAGAGATACAGGGGATGGGCGTGCTCCTCTCATTTACTACTTAATTTAACCTAACTGGATATTGGCGTGTACTCAGACGAATATTGTGTTATGTGCTACTTGATGCTCAAGTAACCAAATCACATTAACGCACAGACTTCCAGTTAAACCAGTCATACTGTGCTAATTCCAGTCAGCAGCATATTCCACCTCAATCAGGTCCGACAGTCCCCACTTTTATTTAGTTTAATTACATTCTCAGCTAAAGCAAAACAACAAACACCTGGGGAAAACAGATGTTTGTTGGTTTAATCCACAAGAGCAAAAACATTCTGGCCAGAGGGGAAAACAAACATTATAATATAGTGTCATTTCAAAAAAAAAAAAAAAAAAAAAGATTATGTAACCACTAAACAGCTGGCGAGTGTTGTTTTTAGCAAACGTTACACAAACAGGAGTAAACAGACTATTTGCTTCAGCTGGTGGAGCGCGACGGTGTATGTGAGACTGACTGGAAATAAACTACAGTGCCCATGTTCGTCATAATAAAGGAACATGTCAGCCGGTGTAATGATGTGGCTCTATGTGAGTTTTTGATAGTAACACTGGAGAGGCTTTGGCTACACAGATAATATTTGTTTGTAACCATTCAGTATTGGTTTTGGTATTTTGTTGACAATAAGAAAAACATTAAATATCAACAGACTTGACCTTCAAAGCCTGATAGAGCTGTTGTTTCTGCTAGTTACAGAGTGCTTAAATCCAAAGCCAGACATGAGGCGGTGTATAAAGCACAAACCTGGACCCTTCTGTAATGTAAGAAGGTAAAAACAATAAAAATTAGTCACTTTCTCTGTTTTTCCCAATGAAGCAATTTACATTTGAAGGTTTTCCTTCTGGAACAACAGTCCACTATTGAACTACAACCAGCTCAGTGTTGATAAGGAAGGACTGAAGCTGTTCTGAGGCGACGCGTGGCCTTGGTTTCTGACTTCAAAGTCGCATTTTATCTGTTGCTCTTTCCAACCGCTGAATGTTCAGTAATGACTGTATTTTATGTTCATCCTGTGTTCATTTCTCTATACACATCCACTTTGCTTTTTCTGCCAACTGGCTGCTCCCAGCACACCTGTGGTCTTTAATTGGCAGATTGATTCTGCTGTCTGAGCTCTGCCACCTGCAGAAAACACAGACTGACTGATGGTAAAATGCCACACAGTTACAAAAACACCAAGAAGGCCACAATGTGTCTTTATGGCCAGATGTCCCGGCTATAACGCGCAGACTCTATGACAAATGATCCGTTATATGCTTGAACAACGTGAACCGCGGTGGAAAAGATGAAAAAGCGTCTTCACGCTGTGCTGAAAGGGCAGTAAAGTCACTGTGCTTTCCTCTGAGATGTCATTAGTGCAGGGCTGAGAAGTGAGGCATCAGAAGCCAAAGTTTTACTGTCTCCTCGCTCGTGTTTGCTCAGGGCAGAGAGAGCGGCGGCGGGAATGTGTGCTGTGTGTACTCAGGGAGGGCTGCGTCAGGTCACCACGCCTACTGCGGCACACAGTTCAAACTACGAGACAGTGTTAGCTCTCTTAGCGCAACTATAATATGATGGAAACTCAGATAAATATTTATTTCACTTTATTGACCTTGTTGGCCCAGTGTTAGTCGTGTGTGTACGTCAGGAATATTATGTGACACAGTTTCTTGGCTGCCAGGAACTTAAACCAGCTGTTATAATCAGCATTTTTGATTTCCTGCTTTATAATGACTCACACATCTTAAAATCTACTTATTCTGTTTCTCGTTTCAGTCGGTGCAGCGGTGGAAATGTTTATTATGTCTGAAGCCCAGATCACTGACAGTTTGCGGATAATTGTGAATTGTGTTTTCTGAATGTTGACAGAAGTGTCAGTTGAGTGTTTGTCAGATGATAACTAACAGTCTGACATGATGATGTGTGTATTTAAAATAGTAGGAATTAGCAGTGTTTGTTTGTTTTCTTTCAGTCCCACTGGCTCTATGGATGGCAATAACGGTTGGTTAATCGCTGTAGACTCTTAGGCTTGACCCAAGAGAAGTCACAGCCAAACTCAAAGTGAGAGTTAAAAGCCTGACGTCATAGAGAGGGAGGAAATTTTGATATTGTTTAAAAGGAGGGATAATGGTGGACATTTTCAGACGGTGTCTCCTGGAAGACATTCACAGCATCGCGCTCGACTGTTTGAATGGAAAGTGAAAGAAAAAGCAGCGCTAGACAGAGAAGTTCAAACCGAGCGTATCTGAAGGAAAACCTCCTCATTGGCGAGAGTGCAGCTGCAGTTCAGTTTAAAATGCTATAATCACTGATGTCATGATGTGCCTTTGGGTGCAAATGAAGCTGAGATGATGTCTGCTGGTTCATTAGCGCTAATTCATGTAAAGTGAAGGGAAGAGACGAGAGGAGAAAGGACAAGGATGAAAGAGACGGTGATGAATAAGGACTGAAGGAGGCTGGTGTGGGCTTTTGCAGATCCGCCACCCCCACCCCCACCCCCACCCCACTCCAACCAATTTTTATTTCCCACCTTCATGTACACAAGCACAGACAGAATTTTGTCTCTCTCCTCAGTGCCTCATATAACCCTGTATATATTAGTTTGTGATCTTCATGGTTGATTTTATTGACAGCGTGGGAAGCTTATTTCTGTGCAAAGCAAGTTATTCTCAGCACTTAACTTGTTCAGGTGCCGCAGCAAGGTGGAGAATCTTATCTCTCTCTCTTTGTGTGTGTGTGTGTGTGTGTGTGTGTGGTATTCAAAGCACATCACTTCGCTTAATAACTTGCAGAGGCGTCCTAAGGAATCGGGGCCACTTAGCATTTTCACAGCACGCCCCAGGAATGACATTCTCATTGCTTCCCACCGCTCCCCGAGGACCATCCATCACATTCAGGTGGTAGGGTTGGGTTGTTGGTTCGATGTCTGGCTCCTCCTGTCCATATGTCACAGTGTGTTTCAGAAGGATACTGAACTCCAACCTGCCCTGGACGAGTGTGTATGCATAGTGAGGGAAAACAGGAGTCTACAGCCACGCTAGTGGCTGTGAGGCTGTACCTATACAGATGATATGTCCTTATATCAAGAGTGATGTTTCCATAAGTCACCTATAATATTATCACATATATACATCCTCTGGATACATATATGAAATACCTTTAGTAAAATTAGTATATTTACATATATTAATGAATTATGATTTTTTATATGGTTTAACACGTTGCAGGTATATGTGTTAACAATCTATATTTAATGTGTGTGTGTATTTATATATATATGTGCAAATTTATTAAGACAATATAAAAACTCTGTATTTGACTGACTTTTGGACCCTACTGTGTATAATATCAACATATATTGACAGGCATTGGGTTGGGTTGGATATATATTTACATAACATTCATCTACAATATAAGAATACATACATAAACATACAGTACATATCCTATTTGTATGGGCTAGACATATATGTCAATATATGAAATTGCTCCAACAGGTTTTATATATCATTTTTAGATAAAGGTTTTTGTTAAATACACATAGCTCATATACTGTATGGAAATTCAATATATGTGCATATTCCATTTGTGTATAATGACTATACTCAGGCACTGAAGGGGATATGAATGCATGTGCCAAATTTCATAAAAATCTATCCAACAGTTGTTGCGACATTTCAATCAAAACCACAACAGTCAACATCAGGGGATCATGGAAGTCCACAGGTTTTGTCCTCTAGGCACTGTGAATATTTGCACCAAACTTCACAGCAGTTCTCAAGGACTGATGAGATATTTCATTCTGAACCAAAGTGATGGACTGACATTGCAATCCCTTAGAGACATGCCACTGGCATGAAGCAAAGCCAAGTCTCCTTGTACAAAAGCATCACTCGCACCAAAGGAATCTAATGTAGCTGTGTGCGTTGGCATGCAGGTGAGCAGATTATTATTACAAGCCATGTCATGAATTTCAGGGATAGACAGAGCTTTGTTAACGGAAGCTGAGAAATGTGGGTGTTGTGCTCTGAATGTCAGCCTTGGAGCCTAATTGGGAGGTTGTTAAGCTGCTGTGGAGCTGTCAAATGTCTACCAATTACTTGCGCTTCTTTGTAATCCTGCAAATCATTGTCTTATTTTAATTAATGCTTTTTACACCAGCCAAAAGACAAGCACATTAACCTGGACCTGTATTGCCAATCCATTTGCAGTTTCCACTAAGTTATTAACGTCAGATGTATTTTATTGATTTTCCTTGTCTGTTTCACATTGTCTAGGATTCCTGAAAGTGGCCACCTCTTGTCGGCTTCCCCAAAGAAACAGAAGATTAGAGGAGGAAAAAAACTGGAGGAGCACCAGGAAGTTCAGACTATGTCAACTAAAAGAACAACAACCCAATTGTTAGCAGAACAGAAACTGGAGTTCTTCGTATCATAATGTAGTTCTTCTGACTCCCTTCATGCAACATCTTAGTTGACTGTTTTTGACTGAGTCTAACTGAGGGATCAATGGAGCAGGTCGAGGAGGATTTGAACCTCTCCTTTCTGCTGGAACATGAGAGAGAGATGATCCTGAAGGTGCTGCAGAAAGACGAGAAACTGAGGAAGCGAGAAGAGAAGAGGATACGGTGAGGACTTCGTTATCATTTCAACAATTTCACATCTCACTCTGACGTTTCTTCATATCTCTTGATGTTCCTCCCCTTTCTCTCGCACAGGAAGTTGAAGAATGAGCTGCTGGAGATCAAACGAAAGGGTTCCCGACGGCCCCAAGAGTTGGGCGAGCGACAGTGCGCTCGCTGTCTGAGGGCTTTGGGCCTGATTTTCGACCGTGGAGATCTCTGCGAGGAGTGTCAGCTGCGTGTCTGCAGCGACTGTCGCGTTGCAACTCCCAACGGACGCCAGTGGAAGTGTAATGTTTGTGCCAAGATCTCGTAAGTGTGATGATGCCTGCAGGGACTAGGACAGTGTTGAGTGTTTGGAAGAGAAATGGAGTCCAGATGGTTTAGATTAGATGGTTAATGACACCACATCTGTCTCCATTTGTCTGCGAGGGCCTCAGGTGTTTCAGTGCCGGGATCATCTCCAAAGCTTTAAGGAAAAATCCACCCTGACCAAAAAAAAAACCCCACTGCAACACTATCTGTCGGTGCTGTTTATACCGTTGGTTTTACAGCATCTTTTCTCATTTACGTCCTCCATGCATTACGTGTGGTAATTAGTTAAGCCGAATGTATTTATTTTGTGTTGTTCAAAAGTAGAGTTAGCTTACATATTTGGTATTCAAGGACTGTAAATGCACGCACATGACATCATGCGTCACCTTTCTCAGTGGCTTGAAGTATTCAATATCCTTTCTCCCAGACGAGGGTTGTTTTAGTAGTTGATGTAAATGTCACCTTGTTTTTTTTTTTTTTATATGATGACACATTGTTAAAAAGGTTAAGTAAAAAAATAACAGAAATAAATCTTGCAGCACTCTTGGCTTGTCCTCAAGGTACACTCGTCATTTTATTAAGAACACCTCGTTAAAACCAGTGCAGTGTAATCCAGCAGTCCTGCAGGAAATCAACAACTTCAATGAGGTTAAGCTAAAAAAAAAAGAAGCAGGACCACCTCTCTGTATCATGCAATACGATTCAACAGCACTACAAACTGCATCCTCCAAAATGATCATACAATTGAATCAACAACTCTCTAGAACAATTTCAATAAAAACTGAACATTATTACCTTCATGATGGTAAGATTTATTACAGGACTGTTGCTTTAGACTGCATTACGTGCACAAATAAGTAACGTGAGATATTTCCAGCTCTGCCACAATGGAAATTATTAGGAACCAACTACAACACTACTGGTAAACATGAGGGTTCGATGTCTGTTCTTCAGAATCAATTAGCGGTGGGGTTTTATTTCTAGTCTCTCAACACTCATAAATAACTGATCACTTATCGATTAATATCTAACAGCTTGAGTTGGCCTGATGTTTTGAGGAGCTGAATTGCCAGTAAGCCGTGGACTGTGTGTTTGCAGGGAGCTGAAGGTGGTGACAGGAGAGTGGTTCCTGGAGGAGCGGTCCAAACGCTTTGAGCAGAAAGTGCTGAGCAGTGATGTGATCAAACAGAACATCCTGAGCAGCCCGACCAGTGAGTCTGACCACTAATGTACTCAAAACTGTACAACTGTAAGCCAAACAACAAACACAGAGCACATCATTAGGAACACCATACTAATACTGGGTAGGGCTTCCCTTCTCTCTTTCTGCTGCCACTTGATTGGCTGATTGGTAGTAGTGCGGGATATACGCTGATGGTGTTCATGGCTTTTTGTTTTTGATCACAAGCCGCAGACAAAAAGTCTACAGAGACCCTTTCGACCCCCTCTGAGTCCGAGAGACCTGACACCCCGAGATCTCATAGGAGCGCAATACTCATCGCTATGGACGGTGCCAGGAGGAAAGGGTAAGTTGCGAAAAAAATGTTTATGTTCATGTGAATGCATATTTATTCTGAATTTAGCAGGACTTACTCACTGAATTGTTACATAACATGAACACATGAAATATGCATGATAGGAGAAAGTGCACAGGATAAAATCAGATCAAACCAAATTCAAAAGAAGTCTGCAGTGTGTTGAAAGGCTCACTCCAGCACAAAGGCATTAGAAAAGATCAAGTGGATGCTCATTTGATTTTTGAGACCCTGAATGTGTTTTAAAATACATTTGGCAAAGCAACACGGCAGTAATTGGATTGTGCTGGCTAACATCACTCCGCGTCTTGGCTACACTCTAATGGTTCCTGAAGGCATCACAGCGTTTCAAACAAAGACGCCATATAGACAAAAAGCAGCCAGCAGCCTCTGATAAACAATAGATGTTATTGCTGTTAACACAAAATTCAGCCACTTCAGTTTCAAAATCTCAGGGAGCTGCAATTATTTCATCAGAGCGGGGCCTGCTGAGCACACATTACATAACCCATCATTAAGAAGAAAACAGTAATTCAAACAGTTTATTCAAATATTAATGACTAAATATAACATAAATATTACTACATTTTTACTAAATACGTGTTTTGTTTGCTGGAGTGTTTGATATTGGAAATAGTGTTCCTGCATGGTGTGCATAATTTCATAATGTGGAAGCAAATCTGTATATGAACATAGATCAGATTTGTCAAACTTATAAACAACAGTGCTAGACAATCATGGGATTCATTAGCCAGAATTTTGACCATCAAGTAAGTATGCTAGTGAACTTTTTGGTTTGGATTCAGTACAACATGAAACAAATGCATGAAAAGTGCAATAGAGACAAATCAAAACAAACTACAAGACGCAAGCTACACTTTCTGTTAGCTCAGTGTAGCTTGGTATACTGCTAAAATGTGCCAATTAGCACACAAAGTCCAAATAAAAACTTCTTTACAATTCATCCTCCGGGCTCCACGGGTGTCTGTACCGAATGTCATGGCAATCCATCAAATAGTTGTCAAAACTTTTCACTAAAAAACAAACGTCAACCTCATGGTGGCGCTAGAGGAAAAGTCAGAAGGATTCTGGACCTGCATCAGCAGCCCTGATGCAGGTCCAGAATTTTTAATATCATATCATATAATCACCCATATCACCAAATTTCACTAAAGCTGGTGAAAAGCAGGACTGAAAACAACTTAATAATAATTAAACAATTAAATGTATCTACCAGGGTTTAAGTATACTAGATAATATTTCCTCTGCAGGATGGAAACTGTAGAGCTGAGTGACCGAGATGATCCTGATAAAGCGGACGGATCAGAGAGACACGCTGCAATGACTCTGCATTAATAGACATGACCACATATCTCCAATGTTCAGTAGATAACAGACTCCCTGCGTGTGTGTGTGTGTGTGTGTGTTATCTACCAGGGTTTAAGTATACTAGATAATATTTCCTCTGCAGGATGGAAACTGTAGAGCTGAGTGACTGTGTGTGTGTGTGTGTGTGCGCGCACAGACGGATGAAGATGGATAAAAAAGGCAGCCGACCCACCTTGAAGCCAGAGAACGGAGTCGACAGTGTCAGTGTCAAATCTGTTTCGGATGGAGATGCTCAAAGCGTACGAAGTGTCCGCTCTGCTCCGAGTCCGCGTTCAAACAGGTGTCAATCTTTTTTTTTTTTTTTTCAAAATGCAGTTACACAGTGCTTTGCTAAGATATAATAGAGGAAACTCTTACTCAGCATCATACATTAGGTTTTTACCTTTTTAGATCCCCATTCAGCAGGTAGGGACAACAGCAGACACTGTCTCAAATCTCATTGTCGCAGCAGTGGTGCAGCCTCACGTCAGTCTCTACAGTATTGAAACCTCAACATGTGAATAGAGACTTGATGTTGAAGGAACTCTGGGAGGTGCTGAATACATGTTGTGGATGGTGTTGAACTGGTCTCTTCCTGGCGTTCAGGGGAGGTGCGGTGGCCTTGGAGTCCTCTGGGATGCCCACAGTACCCAACAACCTGCGATCCCAAACTTCAGACAGATCATCCACTCCCAGCGACAACCGGAGGGTCAGGGTCAGCAACTGACACACACACACACACACACATGCTCACATAAACACACATACAGCTACACGCCGGAGGAAACTGTCTAGATTACAATGTTCTTTTAACAGTTTTGGGTGGGTGTATTTGTGTTTGCAAACAGCCTGATGGAGCGGAGAGCGTTGCCAGTTTGCACTCCGGTGACAGCACGCCTGAGCAGAAAGCTGCCGGCAATAACAGGAGGAACTCTGGCACTCCCACCATTTCTGTGTCAAGGGCCTCGGTCTCATCAGGTATCTCCATTACAACCCACTCCTCCTTTTTCTGTCTTGTTTCCCCCGCCCCAAAACAGAAGTGACTTGACTCCTGCTGCCGTCATACAGCTTCACAGCTCACACACAAACATTTCAATGAGTCACAGTTTGAAGATGCGTTCGTGGCAGCAGGTTCATATCAGAGATGATGTTAGACAGTCTAATCAGGGCGATGCAGAAACACTCAGCTCCATCTCCTACTGTTAAGTATCTCGTAAAGGATTAAATGATGCCATACGCCAGATGTCACGTCTTCACCAATTACACTATTAACTCACGCTCCCCGTCACCTTCTGCTGCTCTTCTTTATGTGTGGAACTCTCCCGCTTTTTGCTTTGGTATAATCTCCTCCACTTTGTCTCTCTCCGTACAAAACCTTTTATCTCCGTCAGTACCAGCTGCGAAGAGGTGTGTCAAGATTATAAAGTGGTTCCGATTTGTGTCGTTAGCTGGAAACTGCTGACAGACGACCTCCTCGACTCGCCCACAGATGCGTCCGACCACAAATTCACAATAGTATGAAGATGAAACCATTTTGTTTTGTAGCATTGTATTTCCAGTTTTAGCAAATATTTTAAGAATCCGAGCTTGTGCTTCACTTTATGGTTGATGTGCTCCAAAGATACAGTTTGTCCCTGGATGAGTCCTCTGATCTTCAGACATCAACCCAGTTTTTCCTCCTCAAAGCTCATTTACACTTCACCTGCATTATTTTATTACTTTTACTCTATTTTGGGGAAATTTTATGCTTTTATTTGCTGAAGACAGGTTTGGGGAAAGAGAGTAGGGAATGAGCAAATGTGATTACACTCACTTTGTATGTGCCCTATCCACACGGATATTGCATCCCCCCCACTTTTTTCTTTCTTTTTTGCTGGTGTATGTATTTTACACATTAAAAGGATTATTTTAGTATTTTTGGGAGAGTTAAATGAGAAGATGTCAAGCTCATGTCTGTGTTAACTATGGAGCTAGAGCCGGAGGCAATTATTTGCTTAACACATGGCTTAGCTTAAGACTGGAAGTGGGAAGAACAGTTACGGTTATCTCCAAAGTTCAAATTTATGTCCTTGAGCTCTGACGCTTAATAATTAACATCTTATTTGTTTACACAAACAAATCAGATTTATCTTTTTTAAGCCTTTTTTAAAACCAAAAACACGAGCAAAAGTGTAAGGAATGGATTTAACTGTGAATTTATCTGCTGTAATGTAAAACGCAATCATTGGCACGTCTGGCTAACTCCCTTAAAATATCCCTGAAAACATACAAAATCCCTGAGTAATAGATTAAGGTGTTTTGTATCTAACTAGATATCTATTAATTTGTCTATCAATTTGAAAAGTCTTTTATTATGAGGGGAAAACTGTTCACGTCAGTCTCCAACTTGTAATTGTGACCCAGAGATGTCGGGAATCTCTGACTCAGATATCTCCAACTTCGTGGATATATCTGCAGTTCTTTTCACTGTTGACATATCTGAACGTGCAAAATAAAATCCAGTATACAATACAAATACAATACATTCAGATAATTTTATAGGATCTATGCACTGTTTGTTTGCATCTGGGTTCACTTGGTAGCGAGCCGCTACAAATGCGTAACACAACGAAAGTGGCTAATTAATTCATCTGATGTAACTACAAGGTTAGCCCTGATGCTAACCTTGTAGTTACATCAGATGACTTATTTAGCCACTGAGGGGGGGTTTGTTTCCTGGTCTAGGGATTATGGGAAATTTTGTTTGTTCAAAGCAGCTAAAAAAATAAAAAAAAAACTATTATATTATATTATATTATATAGGATTATATAATATTCAGTCAACAATGAGATGATATGATAGACTCCCACCTTTGAGACTGCTTCTTGTGCTTTTGGGAGCTAATGTAAGACGTCAGGCTTTCTCACCAGCGATGTCACACATGTCAGTTGGATTTCCATCCAACTTGATCTTGATTTGTTCTGATGTCATCCAAACGCAGATAACGATAGCCTCGCGAGATAAGGTGGCTGCAGTTTTTGGAGTCAGGCACCACAGCTGCTCTCCACTGACCGCAAGACCCCAGGGCATGATGGGAAATGTCTGACCTAAGAGCTGATTGGTTTAGATGATGTATCAGCAACATGACATTTTGTTTAATTGGAGATGATTTGATTTTGTGTGTGTGTGATTTAGGACCACGAAGGTTTACTCTGTGAACAGAATAAATGTTGTGTGGTCAGTGGCTCATTTATCAGTCAGAGAAGCTGGTTCAGTTTTTACTCCAGATAGATCTCATAGACTGTGATAGTTGTAGTCTACAATATGGATATTACTTATTACTTAATTTTTTAAGAACCATGAGATGACATAAAACTTTGCTGACAAATGGGATGTGCAGATCCTTAGAAAAACATCTGATGTTAATTTTATGTTTCTTTAGTAATAAGGAGGTTAAACAGTAAACACTAGCATGGTGATCACAGAACACCCATGTAACTTTTTAATCGTCTATAATATAGGAGAATATGACTGAAGTAACAATTAGTGGAGGCTGAGTAGAAGCTGAAATGAAATAGGTCCAAATGTCAAACACTTTGAGCTGCATTTCTTGCACATTTGTGGCAAAGTAAATTAAGTTCTCACCATCACTCCTCTTCCTCCTCCTCCTCCTCCTCCTCTGCATCCCTTGTTTCACTCTCCTCTCTCCCACACCAGATCACTGCCGCTCAGAGATGGACCTATCAGCTCCTGGTTCTGAACCCAGTGACGACGCCTTCAGTCTCAGAAGCCGTTCGGTTCCCGGGCTCAATGAAACAGTAAGCACCATCAGTCCATCCCTTCCTCCTCTTTCAGCTGTATCCCCCACACACTGGACACTTGTTTGATTTGTGCAGCAGCTTCACCGCAGATTCCGGTCACAGCAAAAGCTCAGAGTCTGAAATTTACACAGACTGAATTTTCAGTCTATGCTCCTTTTTTTTAAATCCATACATCCACTGCACTATACCTTATGCCCATAACGAGCTCAGGGACTGAGGCTCAGCGTGATGCGTCAGATGTGGGGCTGAATGTTAATTTCACTTCAGAGCCCACTTCAAAGAGCATGACAAGCATCTAAACGGCTGTAGGCTGAATACAGGTGGAGGATGTGGCGGTCAGTATAGGGCTCGCTTTGTCTCTTGCGTTCATTTGCATTCAAAGCGCTTCACAGAAACACGAGCACATTGGTCGTACTCAGACACACACACACACGATTTTAAACGTAAAACTACTCCTTCATTCACGCTCACAAGTTTACTGTAAACCCAGTGACACTGTGATTTTGCGTGTGACAAACGAGCAAACAAATTACCACGCTCTGTCCTGACTTGTCTGATTGAATTTATGGAAGCTGGCTGCATCCACCCACACAGAGCCGCTGCGTAGAGGAAAAAAAAAAAAATCCAAGTACAAAGTCCCAGATCCCGTTTCCCTTTTGATTAAATCTAAACGCTGTCATCCGCAGGAGTTTTCTGATGAGGATGGGGAGGAAGACATCGATGCCCTGATGTCGGCCCACAGCAAGCCTGCCAGCCGACGCCTCAGCAACGCAGTGTCAACGGTAACACCCATGTTAAAGCTCCTACAAACACAGAAATAACTACAAACAAAAAAAGATTACGGGAAGCACTGTGCACCAACATGTACATGCTCACTTTATTTACACACGTATGCTCACCGTCACCTGATGCATGAGTCATGACTGTAGGCTCTAGTGTTGACTGTGTAAACATAGCGTGAGCTGTGGGGCCAGGGGACAGCGTGTGTCACGAACACCTGCAGCACAGTGAACGCAGCGTGCTGAGGAAGCCTGCTGCATTTACTTAAACTAACTTGACTTCTAGTATGATAATGTGATGGATTACTGCTTTGTTTATGGGAATAATGTGATTCGCATAAATGTGTTTTATGTAGCTTCATATAGTGAATCGTATGTGTAAATTTAATTTATCATACCATGGGGTCTATTTATTCAAATGACCAAAAGACATATTTTGTGGATCTATATCTGTAGCTACAAAATACATTTAAACGTGTTTTTTTGTTTTTTCTTTTTTATCAACAATGGATTACATGACAGTGTGAAATGTGAATCTCATGGGAGCTTTAAAATTTTAATAGCAAAATCTCTTTCCAGACACAGTGTCCCTGTTGGATCATCCATAGATGTCACTGTTTTTAAATTTCCCCGTTGCAGAGAAATAGCTCGTGTTAAATGGCATGTTCTGTTGATTTTCTACACTAACTGTTGAAATGTAACTTAAGATACAATATAATCCCATCAACGCCACAAATTGAATATAAATCTGCTGTGCTGGGTTGGAGGCAGAAATTATGGAAAACATAGACACACAAAAACAAAAGCTGTCTTCATGGTTAAATTTAACACAGTCACAATATTAAACATGTACATTTCTTACTTGACTTTCCCATGTAAACACTTACATGTGCGACCCCCCCACCCCCACCCACCCACCCACCCCAACAATTATGAAGCGCTTACTTCAGCAGAAAAAATTCAGTTATTCAAATGACCTGAATAATTGTCTTGCTTCGTGACTCATACCACCTTCAGCGGTCTGTGGTGCCTGTGAGAGTGCGCGTGTGTAATTTGAGAAGTGCGTAGGTAAACAGACAAGATAGACGTCTTGCCTGTCGTGTTTATTATGTCATCTCATAACAGCCATCACTGCGCTGCTGTTGGTAGTATGAATGGAAGTGGAAGGAGATGATGAGGGACATTATACAGATAGTTGAGTCTCTCATTGAATCAAGCTCTAATATACTCTGCCCACTATTACATGATTCACTTTATGGAGGGCTTTGGGTGGATAATGAAAGCACAACCGAGGCAGCGGTAGTGCCATTTATTTCATAGTGCAGTTTCCATTATCTGTTTGATAGTTTTTGTTTTTTTTTTTGTTTTTTTTAGAGATGCCTTAATTTTTGTTCTATTAATTCAGTATAGCTGTCCAACAATATTTCAGTGTCCATTTGCTGATTGCATATGATGCATTTTACAGATGTGAAAATGATCACTGTGTGGCTCTACAGCTGTCAGTGATGACACAAAATGATGATGATGCTTGAAATCTCAGTTTACTGCTCTTTACCGAGGGTCTATTATATAGGGCTCCCGGCTACAGTCCTCCGGGTCACGGCATCTCTTAAAGTTGTATGACGGCAGCTGGACCTGCTTGAGGTTCTGAAAGACATTTTGCCATTCCTATTACTAGCCTGGTTCAAAATATAGATATATATATTTTAAAAGAATAAAAATATAGAGTAATCGATAGAAATACTAGACACCATAGAGGAACTACACATCTCTCTCGTTTTGACTCTTGCCCTGTGTGTGTGTGTGTGTGTCCAGTGCGTCCATGTTGATTTCACAGCCGATTCCAGATGAGTTGTAATCTCTGTGGTTTCATCTGATAATCACCATGGTAACCGTGTGTAATGTGGTTTCTGGCTGTGCTGCTGTAGACAGGGTTTCTGCAGCTCCTCCTCGGGGGCCGGGGGTCTGTGCTCGGGGGGTCTGCCTCTATCACTAACACATCAAAGAGCTCAGATCTCACTCCTTCTTCTCTTTTCCCACCTTCCTTCCCCGTCTTATCTCTCACCATCTCTTAAATGAATCGGCTGCTAGTCTTCCACTCCCGGCTCAGAGAGAAGGTGGGGGTACCTCAATATCCCTGACTCGGATGCTGAGACTGTGAGTCTCCTCTTCCACGTTTGTGCATGTATTTACATTCACCACTGCATTATAACAGTAGAGGTGCAATGGCGGAGCACAAATATTTAATAATATATCGTGATTCTTCAGTGTGTGTTTGTGCCCATCATTGCCTTTTTCATGTGATTTTAGCTACATCTATTTCCATTAAGCCTAAGCCCTTCACATTAAAGTAGTCATTTATCACACTGGCTCCCTGCAGGAAATAAATGAGGTAGACTTTCCAGTAGAAGAAGCACAGTGTGGCTCAATTCTGCTTTCTTGACTTCTGTACTCCCTGGACAGGAATATTATTATCAGTGGATTATACCAGTTAAATCCTGTCCAGAGCCACAACAGACAAGTTTGCTTTCCAAGAAATGTTCCAGACATGATTACCTGCTGTGGTTGTAATGGTTTGGAGTCTTTTGTTCATGAAATAGATTTGGCAGAGGTAGAAAAATGTGGTCTAGTTTGTTGGTGAAGAATTTTTACTTTTTAATTTGGCAATCTATGAAACTCACAAGGTGCAGACACACAGGTTAAAACTCTCACTGTTTTACCAATATAGTGCATGCAAAGTTAACTTTCTGGGTGGAACTGGTAATAATAAGACAAGTTTTACTCTTTTTCTTCGTTTTTATTGTTTGTCACTTGTTTGCCTTTTGGGTTTTTCTTCATTTCTTCATCTATTTTTCTGATTATACACTAAATGCTCCATGTTCCTTTTCTAAAATCTGCCTATAATTTTTTTTATGGCTTGCAGTCAGAGCCGAGAGGAGTCTGCAATTAACTCAGCAACAGAATAATCACCAACAGCAAGTCAATTTTCAAACACAAATGAGAAAAATTACATAGTTGCAGATTATCAGTTGAGAGCATTTGCTGTTTAGCTGTGTCTTTTTTCATGGTAAATTGAATATATTTTCAGGGTCAGACTAAAAAAAAAAAATTAAAAAAAAATTTGAAGACAACAACTTGAGCTTTAGAAAATTCTAACAGGCATTTTTCATAAATTTGACATTTCAAAGATTAATAGGTTAAGAGAATAATTGGCAGGTTCAACGACAAATGGGTTGATAAAAAGAAGAAAAAACACAGGGAAATCAGTGTCACTAATGTACTTTCATCCTTTCACTAATGCATTCACAATAGAAATACTGTATGCTTGCATCACATAAGGGTAATAGCTGTATTTCACACCCGATCTGACATATTAAATACTTTTTCTTGTGCAGTTACCTTTTGAAACACTGTCACTCACTCCTGAAAAGGAGGCATAACAGAGGTTTCTCAGTTTCTCCGAATAATTTACATAAGTCATGACTGACAATAATGTATTATTGCTTTCGGGGCCCAGAAACACAGATAATACCTCAATTTCTGCACATAATAAAAACTGCAAACCTGTGATCTGCACAATATAACAGCAACTCTTCCTACAGAATTGTTGGATTTCGGTCCACAGTGCATGTTTATTTTTTTCTTTTACCTTTATTTATCCAGTGAAGCTTCACTGAGGAGCAGTACTCTCTCTCAGGAAGGCCATGGTCACATCTCCCCTATATGTCCAGCAGGCCACTGAATCTTTTAAGTCTTCAGTATACAACTTTCTGGGGATCCAGAACTACTGATGTAAAAAATTTCATTGGCACAGGCTTTACTCTTAATCTTACTGTGTATTGCCACAGATTTTATTCCATTCAAATCCTGCAAATGTTTCATTTCTACCATATTGCATCACTTTGTCCACTTTACATGTTGTTTTCTTCAGCTTTCTCTCACCTCTTTGCTTTGCTTGTTCCTCATTTGTTGCTTTTCTTTCCTTACCTGTTCAACTCTCCTCTCCTGCTCTTCTCTTACAGAGTAGTATCAACAGCATGATGAGTATGTACAGTGAGACTGGTGACTATGGCAACGCCAGGGTGAGTGGTGAGATCCTGCTGAACATCAGCTACAGCTACAAAACTGGTGCTTTGAATGTCCTGGTCAAAGAGTGTCACAACCTGGCAACAGGAGATGAGAGGAGGCAACGCACGGACGCGTAAGAATGTGCATACACACACACACACACACACACACACATACACACGGTAACCAGATTATAAGTGTTTATTCGATATATTAGCTGATAATAATAGCCAATATTTTTACATCATAGATTAATTACATTATAGACTGTGAAAGAATCTGCTGTAATTAATTGGGGACAGGAACAATCTGCATAGGATCTCCTCCTGTGCAGCACGACTGAGTCACTGTTTCGTTTTCATGACAGTTATGTGAAGACTTACCTGCTGCCAGATATGTCACGACAGAGCAAGAGGAAGACAAGCATCAAGGCCAACACCATTAACCCTGTTTTCAATGAGAATCTGAGGGTAACTTTCAGTGTTTTTTCTACAAACTCTACACACAGCTGAATTCAAAACTTTCATCGCTAAGCTCATTTTTTCTTGTGTAGTATGTGATCAGCCACTCGCAGCTGGAGACACGAACCCTGCAGATCTCTGTGTGGCACCATGACCGCTTCGGACACAACAGCTTCCTGGGAGAAGTGGAGCTGACCTTTGACACCTGGGAGTTTGATTCCCAGATAGAGGAGTGGTACGCTCTGCAGCCAAAGGTAGGAACCAAAATCAGCATGTACACATGTTGTCTTCTTCTTCTGTGTTATATAAACACATACCAAGACAAGTGTTTGAGAGGATTGTTAATGGTGTTTATGTAGGTGGAGAACAGTATAGACTCCACAATGCAGTATAAGGGAGAACTGACGGTGGTGTTGAAGTATATACCTGCAGAGAAGAACCTCATGCTGCCTCTGGACCAAGTGCAAGGTACAATCATAACTGTGATAACCATTACATATTATGTTCCCACACATAGTGTATTAAACTGTGTCAGGATGCAAAATGAAATTTTTAAAATAAATAACACAAATCTGACATTACCTTAAGAGTAAGAACCCGATATTTTCCCCATTTATTTAAAGTTGTTCAAATGATCATATTCCAAACTGTCTGAATAATCCTCTTCATCATACTCTTAATTGAAGCTATACAGTTGTCATAGACCCCTTCACTTTTTGCACATTTTGTCGTGTTGTAGATTTATTTCATTTTAAATTTAAAAAAATCAAAACCTGAAGTGTTCAGACCCTTACTTTACTACTTTGTAGAAGTCTCTCTGGCAGCAGTTACAGCTTTGAGTCTTCTTGGGTAAGGCTGTAAAAGCTTTGCACACCTGGATTTGAGCAGTTTATCCCATTCTTCATGGCAGATCCTCTCAAGCTCTGTCAGATTGGATGGGAAGTGTCTGAATTGCCATATCCAGGTCTCCCCTCAGATGTTTAAGGGGTTTAGGTCTGGGCTTTGGCTGGGCCACTCAAGGACAGTCCGAGACTTGTCCCGAAGCCACTCGAGTGCTGTCGTGGCTGTTGTCCCAGGCTCATGTCATGTGCGCTCTGGAGCAGCTTTTCTTCAGAGCCCTTTAGTTGTCATGTGCCTTTTGACACAAAGCAGCTTCCATCTATCCATTCTACAATAACTACCTGATTGATGGAGTGCTGCTGAGATGGTCGTTCTTCTGGCAGGTTCTCCAATCGCTGGAAAGGACTTCTGAGGAGCGTGACCGTTGGGTTCTTGGTCACCTCCCTGACTAAGGCCCTTCTTGCCTGGTTACTTAGTTTGGGACCAGCAAAGGTGTCATAAGATAAATCTGAGAGGTTACGCTTTTACATAGCCTGAATAATTGTTGAACTGAATGCCGTGATAGTGTCAGGATAGGAAAGCAAAAAAACAATCTATGAACTTACCTGGTTAAATAAAAGCTGAAATAGTTGATCATCCCAAGTGTTGTCTTAAAACTTGTATCCTCCTACATGCAGTTGTGATTGATTTGGTTTTTGATTCTGATCTACCCTTTTCAATATATTTCATTTTGGAATCAATTTATCCATAACTTATTCACTCATTTGTGGTTTGTTTACACCTGAATGTAGCACACTGTTTCATTGTTTAAAAAAAATTTTACATACTCTGTACACGTGTGTCTGTGCATATAAGTTCCACGTGTAAAACACAAATAAGTTTTTTCTTATTTGAATTAATTGTTCTTCCTCTCTGTCTGCCCCCCACCCCTCTCAGTGAAGAAAGGATTCCTGAAAAGCAAGAAGACGAGCAGCTTCACTCTGCCTAAAGGGGGCATGGTTGAGCTGCTAGTCAAAGGAGCCAAAAATCTCACCGCTGTCAAGTCCGGAGGCACTTCTGATCCTTTTGTAAAAGGGTGAGATGCTCCCTGATTGTTACAGAACAAAAACAAAACCACAGCCTGCATATTGTGCAGTAAAATTGTTTGTTTTTTTGGCCCCAGGTACCTTCTCCCTGATAGCAACAAGTCAACCAAGCACAAGACGGCGGTGGAGCGACGCACAGTGAACCCACAGTGGAACCACACCTTCACCTACTGCGGCCTGCAGCCAGGAGACCTCAACAACGTCTGCCTGGAGCTCACTGTGTGGGACAAGGAGGCCCTGGCCAGCAATGTCTTCCTGGGAGGAGTCAGGCTGGGAGCTGGCACAGGTGTGTGTAAGGTGGATTACTGGAAAAAGAAAAAAATATCTGGTTAGGCTTTGTTAGTATGTGAGACATCCTCAAGCATTTTTCTTCTCTTAAAAGGTCAATGTCTCGCACAGAATTCCAAATACGACGGTAAAACCTTTGAACTGTTCTCTGTGGACTAAAGAGCTTTACAGCAACTCTGAGGAGGTTGAATGCTGTATGTCTAATTTAAAAAGCAGGCTTTTATGGCTTCAAAATATCTTGGAAAGACCTAAATCACGGATATAGTATATGCATATCAAACAAAAGTCCTGAATCTGTTAATCTTGTTTGTCTGGAAGCCAAAAATCTTTAGCTGCATAACTGAGAGCTAGTATTCTTCCTCTGGCTATTGATGTTGGCTGACTGAAAAATATTCAGAGGAAACAGCTTGTGTGAGAGCTGTGTGATTAGGAAGAAATGGAAAGTGAGGCCTATTTTCTCTTCTATTGTACATATTATGATTATTTAAGTGTCTGTTTTCCATAAAGTGGCTCAACAAAATCCTGAAGTATTCAGGCGTACAGATTAATTTGGTTCTTCAATTTCGAGTCACTTAACTTTCTCTCAAAATCCTGAAAAAAGGCAAGATTGACAATTTATTCCGATTTCTCCAATATTATACACCGTGATGGAAAGTGACAAAGTATTTTTTCTCAATAACTTCTTCTTCTTCTTAAGTACAATTTTGATATACTTAAACTCTACTTAAAGGAAACGGTTGACATTTTGGGAATTGTGTTAAAACACTTTCTTGCCAAGATTTGGACAAGAAGCTCAAAATTCACTTTTATGTTTGAACAATACGTATGATGCTGGAGCCAGCAGCCGCGTAGCTAAGTTTAAAGACGGGGGAAACAGCTAACCTGTCCAAAGGTAACAAAATCTGAAGCTCAGTAATTAACACATCTCATTTTTTTTTTTATTCAGCACAAAAACTAAGCTCCTAAGCTAAGCTAAATGCTGGCTTCAGCTTTATATTTCTCATACAGACAAGACAGTCTTCTCATCTAACTTGGGGCAAGAAAGTCAACAGCTGTATTTCCCAAAATGTGAAAACTGTTCCTTTAAATTTACGTGTTTCCATATCTTGGAGAAGAGGGCATGATGGCCTATTTAATTGGTACTTATTCAGGTTTCTCCACTGTTACACAGTACATGCTTTGACTGTGATTTAAGAATTTTGTTATAGACTTGTAGGGATGAAAATCACATTTTGAAAATGATTAAAATCAATTTATTTTTGAACCTGTTTGGTTTGAAATATCTGACAGATATCAGTTCATCAAATAATAGTGTTATCGTGTAAGAGTGTTTACCTCCTCAGGGCTCTCTGGTAGTTCCAACAAAGTAAAACAAATGTTTATGTCATTGTTTCCTCCCTGAAGGCAAAAGTTACGGGAACGAGGTAGATTGGATGGACTCATACGGGGAGGAACAGCGGCTGTGGCAACGCATGATTGAAAACCCAGAAGTCCCTCACGAGTGCACTCTGATGCTGCGATCCAGCATGCGCAAGTGTAACACATGAGCGGACCCAAGCACAAACAGAGAGGATAAAAGAGAATAAAGGGGGAGAGGAGAAAGAGAAAGAAGTGGTGTGAGGAGAGAGCTGCAGAAGTGGAGACTCCGTCCTTCTCCCTACTTCTTTCCCTCCCCTGAGACGCCCTGTTCAGATCCCTTCTCCTGTCCAGAGCAGCCAGTCATGCCTTACACACTCATCTACATGTGCCCTCTGCCATCCGAAGCATCTCGTCTTGACCAAGCACTGCTGTTTACTGCTGTATATGGAAAAAAAAAAAACATGTTATATGTATGTAACTTACTGTACCTACCAAATAAGCACACAGTGACTCCTGATGTGTCTGTCCTCGTCTCTGTGATTCATGTACCAGAGTCATTTCTGCATGTAGTTACAGCTGACAGAGACCATTTGTAAGGCAGTACACAAGGCACTGATCAATAATGTAGAGACTTAGACATTCCCTTTATGAGCAACCAAGCTGCATCCTGCTCTGAAGCACACAATGATGCTGAGATTCATCCCCTCATAAACAGCTGTGTACAGAGGTGGAAAGTGACTAGTGTTAGTACTACTGTACCATCCTACTTGACTTAATTTTTACTCAAGCAGAGTGATGGACCACTTAAATAAAATAGTAGCACGTTGAAGATTCCTCAGAGCACTTACACTCACTGCGAAATTTTTGTTTTTCGATTTATGAAGGAAAAGATTATCAAAGCAAAATGAAAGGAGTATCCTCCTTTAGATCAATCTGGTATTTTTGCCTTCCAAAAGTAGGTAAAAATAACAAAATTCTACTGTGGGTAAAAGTAGGAATATTAATTTTGGAGCACTAAATCTAGGACTGAAATTATGTCAAACTCGATTAAATGTTTATACAATGCTAGAAATTTTGTGGAAAATGTCCATCTAATTACCTAGAGATGTAGGTAATGTCTTCAAGTTCAAAAACCCTGTGTTGTCCGACCAAGCTGCACCAAGCTACTGTTCAATCTGTCCACCACTTTGGTCCAGACAGAATATTGGACCGACGGAGATGAAATTGACGTTCATGATCCCCAGAGGATGAATCTTACTGAGTTTGGTGATCTACTGAGTCAGTCAAAACTTTCTCTTATCCAATGAAATATCTCAACATTAACTGGATAAATTGGCACAACATTGTACAGACATTCATGGTTACTAGTGGGTGAATCCCAATGACTTTTGTGAACCTGACTTCCTCTAACGCCAACGCCATGAGGTTGACATTTGTGGTTTTTAGTGAAATATCTGAACTGTAATCGTATAATACCTTTTGCGATTCTCTGATGTTTCTTCAGCGCCATCATCAGGTCAAAATTACATTTGTTTTCAATACTTTGGTTTATGACTAAAAAACAGTAAGACTAATGACATTCCCATCAGCCTCATCTGTTCTTTAAACTTAAAAGCTAATTAAGCCTAAAGCTAAACTTCATCATACCAAACATCATACCTGCTTAGCATCAGCATGCTAGCATTGTCATTGTGAGCAAGAACAAGTCCTTGAAAAAATGTACTTGCAGCTACAAGAGTACTTGCAGTTAGTTACTTTCCACCCCTGGTTGTCTGAAAAAAAAATCTGTGGCACAAAGTCTAGACAGATTACACAATTTAGACTACTTTCAATGTAAATTTACATAACACTGTATCAGTGTGATAATAGAAACTGCATGGTACTGTATTAGAGAAAACAGAGGTAGAAGAACAAAAGAAAGTTACCTAAAGCACTAATAATGACATCACTTTACACTCAGAAGAGGAACTCAACAGGAAGTGAGATTTTCAGTGTGTTCCCAGGAACCCTGAGGTGGGGGCTGTGTGTTATAGAGTGAGTCAGCACTGAGACGAGCTGCCGTCATCTCAAGTGAAGCCTAATGATGAGTCGTGACCGTCACCTTGTCCCTGTCACCCAGGGCTCCACGACCCACCATCCTGTGATGAATCACGCAGTTCACAAAAAACGATTTTCAAGTTAAACCCCGTATGACCATTTCTCATGTGGAATGCCTGTCCTGTCCGCTTGTCCTTGGCAAACGCTCTGAACTCCCAGGGCAAAACAGTTTCACACTCCACAACTACAGTAATAATACATAGTGTGTGCAACATATTTTAGATGAAAGACTCGTGCAATACCTGATTACTGAAGAAACTCTTTATGTACAGCATGTACTATCTCTGTTGGTCTGGTTTCCAAGCATCAGATTCACTGTATCCAAGCCTATTTTGTCCCAAATGTGTAACAAGAATATTTTGAAATAAACACATGTTTCCATAGACTGACTGACTTTGCTTTTTATTTTGATTGTTCATTTGTTCATTTATTTATATTAAATACTCATATGACTGATTAAGTTTTGTTTTGTAAGTGAGCAGCTGCAAAACTATTCTGAGGCTCTCTGACTGAAGGTTTGTAACAAACGGCAAAAGTTAATAGGTTACATTAATAGAAAAAAAGTGGTAAATATTCCCATTCGAAAAGCTAAAACCAGTAAATATTTGTCATATTTGCCTAGAAAATAGCCAGTTGATGTATGATCAAAATACATGCTGATTAATTAATCAAACACTTTATTGCTTAATTTTTTCCAGAAAAAAACAACCTCTAAAAAATCTTCTTTACCTACAGATTTCAAAACCTATCACTCAGGTTGTTCACAGGCTGAGTGCCTTTTATCACTGGCTTGTGTTACAGATCCAATCCAACCACTTTGAAGGATGCTTACCAACAACTCTATCTCAATGGTTTCTGGCAAGCCAGGGAAACATCCAGGCCAAGAACATATAACACCTAATATATAACATAAAAAGCCAAAGAAAAATTTTTCATCTGTAAGAAGTTTTGACTATTGCAAACAATCATCCAAAGAAAAATGAACGAATATATAAAAAGCTTGGGTGTTGCATCCTGATTTGTATCTATGCTTCAGACCTGATAAGATTGAAATGGTTTTACTTTTTATTGATTCATGACCAAACCATGTAACCCATAGTTGATCTTAACTCCATATACTGCTGCTCCTCTGCAAGAGTGTCTGAAGTTTGTTCTTTGGCACATTTAAATATTTGCAAGCCTTTTCTTTTAACCTTGTAACCATCAAATCTAACAATTATGATTAATGTAGGAAGGTCTGTCCAACACACTATGCTCAAACAAAGAGCATGACTCCATTACAGAGAGCAGGGTGTTTATTATACAGGGGAAAAACATAATTATCTCACAAGAGGCTCCACTGGGTTTTTGGACTGGCGAGAGAATAGTGAGTCTACAGGCATGCTAATATATCTGTGAGGCTATAATTAGTCACAGTGTTGCTTAAGAAAATGCTTATGCAGCTTGGCAATATGCTCCAAAGATGCTGTTTGCCATGTTCAACATGGTAGTTTAGCATTTGTTTTATACTATGACATTTTTACAACTTGCTATACTTTGATGTTTTTTGACATTTTTATACCTTTCTATAATATATTATTATAATTCACTATACTATGACGTTTTTTTACCCTTTTGTGCCATACAGTGGTATGACGTTTTATAAAGTTTTTATGCCTTACTATACTACGATGTTTTTTGAAATTTAAATGCCATACTATACTATTATGTTTTTATACCTTACTATACTATGACGTTATTTGACCTTTTAATACTTTACTATACAATGACATTTTTATGCTTTATTGTATATTAACAATTTTATGCCTTGACATACTATGATATTTGTCTTACTATACTGTGACATTTTTCGCCCTTTTTGCACCTTAATATACTATGCCGTTTTTTAACCTTTTTTATGCCTTATTGTATATTAACAATTTTATGCCTTACTATTTTATGACATTTTCAGACATTTTCATGCCTTACTATACTATGACGTTTTTTGACAGTTTTTTGTCTTACTATACTATGACGTTTTTTGATGTTTTCATGCCTTAATGTAAAGTAACGATTTTATGCCTTACTATACTATGACATTTTCAGACATTTTTATCCCTTACTATATTATGACTTTTTTCTAACATTTTTATGCCTTACTATACTATGACATTTTTTTACCTTTTTATACACCAATACTCTATGACCTTTTTTGACATTTTTATTTCTTATTGTATATTTCTGATTTTATGCTTTACTATACTTTAACATTTTCAAAAATTTTTATGCCTAACTATACTATAACGTTTTTTGACGTTTTTTTGCCTTACTATACTATGCCGTTTTTTTTATGTTTTTATGCCTTATTGCATATTAACAATTTTATGCCTTACTACTTTATGACATTTTCAGACATTTTTAGGCCTTACTATACTATGACATTTTTTGACATTTTTTTGCCTTACTATACTATGACGTTTTTTGATGTTTTCATGCCTTAATGTAAAGTAACGATTTTATGCCTTACTATACTATGACATTTTCAGACGTTTTTATGCCTTACTATACTATGACTTTTTTTGACGTTTTTATGCTTTATTATACTATAACATTTTCAAAAATTTGTATGCCTAACTATACTATGACACTTTCAGACTTTTTTATACTTTACTATACTATGATGTTTTTTGACTTTTTTTTGCCTTACTATACTATGACTTTTTTTTGTGTTTTTTCGCCTTACTATACTATGACGTTTTTTGACGTTTTCATGCCTTACTGTATATTAAAGATTTTATTCCTTACTATACTATGACATTTTTTGACGTTTTTTTTGCTTTACTATACTGTGACGTTTTTTGATGTTTTCATGCCTTAATGTAAAGTAACGATTTTATGCCTTACTATACTAGGACATTTTGGGACGTTTTTATGCTTTACTATACTATGACTTTTTTTAACGTTTTTATGCCTTACTATACTATGACATTTTTTGACGTTTTTATGCCTTATTGTATATTAAAGATTTTATTCCTTATTATACTATGACGTTTTTTGACGTTTTTTTGCCTTACTTTCCTGTGACCTTATTTGAAGTTTTCATGCCTAATTGTATATTAACAATTTCATGCTTTACTATACTATGACATTTTTTGACGTTTTTATGCCTTATTGTATATTAAAGATTTTATTCCTTGTTATACTATGACGTTTTTTGACATTTTTATGCCTTACTATACTATGATGTATTTTTACGTTTTTTTGCCTTACAATACTATGACGTTTTTTGGCGTTTTCATGCCTTATTGTAAATTAACGATTTTATGCCTTACTACACTATAA